TTGTCCTATGGAAACGTCTGTCCCCGCATCCGATAATGAGTCTTCCTGTTCCTGTTCCGGGCCGTTAGGTAATGAGATATCGCCGGATCCTGGTTGATTTTGCAGAGATAACAACTCAGTTGACCGGTTTCCTATGGGCAAAGTTGATTCGGGATCTGGAGCCGCCGGGAGCTCCTTGTCGCGGTTCGCCTGTGCAGGGAGTGGCCCGGAACCGTCAAGGTGTAAAGGTGGAAGGTCTGGAACAGGAGGAATGGATTCGTTAGCTTTCCAAGGCGCAATTCTCTCTCGTGATGGGTAGCTGGATGCCGGGGTCGATGGGAAAGCGCTCAGAGAAGGCGTGGAGACATCCGAAGCCTCACTGTACGAGTAGGGCGTGCCAGGAGAATACTGTTCAGGTTGGGAGGATGCTGTCGAAGGCTGTTTGGAATCTTGTTGAAGTCGTGGAGAAAAGAATAATTCTTGGATATTGGACTTGTCTTGGGAATTACGCTGTAAATATGAATTAAAGGATCGTGGGGTGGAGGGGAATGCTTCCATATCAGGTATCCCAGGCGTAAAATGTACCGTATCTGGTTGTGGAGAAGCAGATTCTTGAAGGATGAACGTTATTGGCTGTACGCCTGAGGAACGAGCCGAATTAATAGTAATCGGTGGGGGGACAGGCGCCGAGCGTTGAATCTGAGGTTGAGGAAGCTCAAAAAATTCATTTGGAGTGGGCGGAATCTGAGGCGGCTATATGGATTATTAGTAAAGGTACGTTGGATATTTAGAGAATACTCACATCAGAAACTATCCTTGCATCCCGCCTGTTGTCTCGAGGACTGCTCGTAGTACTTGGCAATTCCTCTGCTTCCTGCTCAATCATTGACCCCACCTTGCTGTACACCGTCAATTCCGACAAACGCTTTAGAGTTGGTAAATCAAGCTTGGACAGGTCGACAGAGTCGACACTGATACGCCAATTATCCTTCCCAAATGCATACGCTGTGAGGGCCATCTCTCGTTCCAGCTCCTCTATATCCCAACTCATGTCCCCCCTAGCATCATGTTCCCTGCGAAGCGAATTCTCCTCTTCGTCTTGATTCTTTGGTGTCCTATCCGAATCGTCATCACCTTGCAGCCTTGAAGTCTGTTCGGATATCCAACGACGAATCCTTTCGTTACGCCCAGTTGAGATGAAATGCATGAATATCTAGCGAGCGAAAACCGTGAAAAGCTTTAGAATACGAAAAAAAAAGAAAAGAAAGAAGAATGAACGAAGAGTAAGGGGGGTGGAGGGGTGAGGTGAAGGGGAAGAAGAGGGAGCACCTGAAGCACACCTATTGGAGAAGCGTCAGGCTTCCGCCAAAGGGAACCAAGGGCAACAGACGTACCTAACTTGTGCCAAATTTGGCGTGAACCCCTGCAGAGGCCTGCTGTGCTATGATTGGTCGATTGCCAGACCGAGGGTTCTAGTCCCTTAAACGAACGTCCAGTTCTGATATCATTTTCGACCGATTCAGAGCCATATTTCAAAGATCAAAGATCTGCGTCTTTTCCGCGGCACATAACGACCAATCCTGCTAGATTTTCAGCTGCTTGATGCGCAAGTCCTCAACTACAGGAACACGGCGAGTTCTACGCGAAGCCCTTTGTGGTGGAGAGCTCCCTTTGAGAGCCTGAGGCCTTGAACCTGAAGGAAGCAGGCCAGAAATATTCGAGCCATGCGATCGCCGCCCGAGTCTTTGGACCTTAGCAACCGGTCGCTAAGTGCCTCCCTCCATGACGGCAGACAACGGCAATCTAAAAATTCTGCATGTCAGGCTCTGTCATCTTCTGGGAGTTTTCTGGCGAGCTTGGCTAGATAGAAGTCCTTCTCCATTCTAAACTAAATTCAGAATCTTCACAATCCTACGCATGTTTGTACAAACATGTTTTATTTTTGTGACAAAAGACATGAAACGCCACTCTATTCGGAACTCGCACGTGTAGGGCGCCCTTGTATCAATTCCGTTACATAACGAAAGGCAAGAGCAGTCAGGACCTCAGAAATTGCTAGTAACCCATGTGAGCAATGTCTTTGAGCGAATCCCACAGTTATCACGTCGAAGCTTCCAGAATAAATTAAAGACGTCTTTTATGGTAACGCGTCAGTCACGGATAGTCACGATTGGCAATATAGGATATGCTCAAACTATAGCAACAGGCTAGACAAAACAATGCATGGGACAGCATTCCATAGCTTTCAGACTACGAACTACACTCTCATAACCGGTCTCACCGCGTTGCCCAACCTTGCCCAACTCGCCAGTGCTGCGCGACATAACGGAGCCAAAACCAATAGTAAACGAGCTGAGCTGAGTAAATTCAGCGCTGTATGATAAAGTTTAATCTGCTCATTCCGAATTCCGCCACATGCATGGCAGTGATGCGACGCAGTAAAATACTGATGGATAATTTGAGAGGCATAGGGAGTACAGGAGCTGAATCATTGATATTGCCGTCAAACAACTCTGTCAAGGCATGACGACCTGATGCTTCTCCATCTTTCCTGACCTCTATACCCACACACATATATATGTATGACATCACACGTTATTTTCACTACGTAACCTCATAGATGGTATTGACCAATAATGTTATTTATCGCCTGCGGTGCTTCGTGTTGGGATGCTAGGCTGTGTAATAGACCATTCTTCTTTTTTTTTGCCCACAATCCATCCAACGCCATCCATCTTTTGCCGCCGAGCTCAGGTGAGTGCCATTTCTATAGCATTGGCTATATCATTGATAGCCTTGGGCAATGGGAAGCATGATAATCTCGCCCGATAAGTTGTTCGTAGGTGGGCCCCGCATGCTATTCCGGAATTTCAATTTCTCCGTTACTGATCCTATCAGCAATCCATTTCTTTGATATCGAATTCTTTATTGACTGTTTATGATGTATCGCAGGCACTATGGACTGCGCTGAAGCTTCTCGCATTACTATGATCATATGGCTCGTATGCAGCCAAGCCAGTTGATGCTGTCTGGATGTCCTTAGGGTGCATTCACTACTTATTTCGCACCGAGCCTATACTCGGTCATCACTCATGTGGTATGTCTCTATCTCAAGATTTTGGCTCATCTCAAACCCGTCGACAATTCCCCTGATACTAATCGCTTAAATGCACAGACCGTTTCATCCACTCAAGCGTCGGACAATTTCGCTTCAATTTGGTGAGCGACCTCAACGAGGCTCAACGGATTTCTAAACAGGTTCAAATTACCAAGACTAGGATGATCTTTCTCACCAAGGAAACTCAGAGAAATTCTCACGAAAGTTGAAGGTAAACTCGAAAGCGACGGCTATCACGGGTCATCCCTAAGTCACCTCTCCGATCTTTCCTTGTTTATATTTATAGTTACCTCCTCTTATTTAAGGAAAATATCAGATCGTATGCGTAAGGGTATCAGAAAGGCATCCCCGAAACCAGCGGGCCATGGATGAGTATGGAGGGACAACTCGCTACAATACGCTCCTACTATCGCTCCAGAAGCTAGCCCTGACACTGCTTGTCATGGCTGTTTCAGCGGGAATATATCAGCGCCGCTCAAGATCTCTTAGAGATATTTGAAGCTTAAAAGCAGACAGATACAGAGATACCAAACTATATAGCCATATCAATTCAACGCGGTGATGTTACTTAATACTTTCGCCCATTAAAATTGGCTATAAGTAATCGAGCCATTTCTGAATTTCTTGTACTAATCCTGAAGGAAACCATATTAACCATCACATCAAATCTTATATATGCGTGCCTTCCAGTAGCTACATGCAGAGATCCGTGTAATTTAGTGGTTTAGTGAGCAATTACGTGAGGTGATATATAGATTCGTGACAGTACTTCTGCGTCATAATATATCTCTTTGAAGCGAATGCGTATATGCTGTTTTCTTTCTTCCAACATCGGCATGCTCTCGCATCATGATTTACAGCAATCAGGGCAGACGAAGACCCTGACATTCCCCGCAAATGTAAACTCAGATCGGAAAGGTTTTCCGCATGCATACTTCAGGGTCAACCTATCCTATCCAAGAGTCTAATGTCGTCTATTTCGTAGAAGTCCGTAGATCAGATCTAAGGCATTTCGGGATGTGTAGAAAGGTAAGGATGTGTGGAAAGGTAATCACATGTCAGAATGATGATAGCGGACATGGCCCCCTGAAGTAAATTACCCCTGTACTTCTTACCCTATGCATCAAATATGGATCAGCGTGGATTGCCTCCTTGGGATGAACGGGTGATGCAACACCGAAGATGAGCAATGTTTATTTTTCATAGGAGTTAGGAGAGTAAATTGTTATCATTAGACAGCCGATGAGCTTTGTACTCGACAGTTAGATACTAACCAAAAGTTGAGAAAAATGGGAAGATTGGCCATTGGCGTTTTTCATAGGAGCGCACTTCAAGTTGTCTCGTTCGGTGTGACTCTCTCCGGGTAAAGGGATAAGCGGGACTTGGATATTTTGCGCTTGGGAGCAGAGGAGAAGTGAAGGAAGCTCTTGTAACGAGCTACATACCAGCTTTCCCCTACATTCAATTTGAACAGCTAATAAACTGCCATTAAGTTGGCTTCTCTTTGGCTGTCTGCTAGCCAGAGACGATATTGCTTAACATCAGATCTATTAAATATGCCTATTTGAGATAAGGGGAACTCGTTTCTAAGGTGTGAACAACTTACTGACGTATTTCAAATTCTCGGTATGGCATGTCATTAAGTCACTATTACTCTATGCGGGTCAACTGTCATAGCGCGAGATGATGGAGAGAGTTTTTCAGTTCATGATTTGATTGATAAAGGTGCTCTTTGACTTCTGATGTCAGCCACCATAGGTGGAGCTGGGAATAATGTAAACTGAGAAATATAGAAAGGTTCATTTGTTTCGTATACCGGGATGTTGACAGATCAAGACAAAGAGTAAGAAGAGGTACGTATCCAGATTTACCTCAGCTCCGACCTGCAAAAAGGACAAAAAGCTGACAAGAGTGGGATTTGAACCCGCGCCCCCGAAAAAATGAGACTACAAGGACCACCCTAGTCTCACGCCTTAGACCAACTCGGCCATCTCGCCATGTCCCACCTTCCGCGATAGAAATTATACCATCCTAGGTAGGGTTGAAGAGAGTGTGGCTATGTCACGTTCATAAAGCTTGAGAGCCTTTTGTATTCTAATATTTAGCCAATATAAGTCAATGAAGATCAACTTTCAAGACATAAACATTTAAATACTTAGAGTATAGTATAAAATACAAGACCCCTTTCTTCCATGAATTACGTGCATCATCGTTCCTGCCTATCCACCGGATAGCTGAAAGGTGCCACCACCCCTCTTAGGTAGTCAGGACATGATCGTGTAATTGATCTCGAGCGTTAGGCAAGCAAAAAATTGTCCGAGAAGGGTAATCGGCCTGAAAAGTACTAATTGTTATTAACATTCCATCTATAAATGCGCCGGGAAGGATGTGAATAAGTATACATCGTGTTAGTGGATCGTGTTGTGATAAGCATATTAGCGAACGTACAGAACGGCATGTATAAATGTACGGATGTGGTAGTGATACATCACGTTGCAATTAAAGAACAATACAAGTAGATAATCTCAGTGTCGATGGCCCTCTATCCTTAATCGTTTGGGAACGTTAGGACCGCTTGGAGTAGGTGAACCAGGTTCGATCGATAAAGAGTCTCTTGGGTTATGCTTCTCGTTTGGCTTTGGAGTGAGAGGAAGCGAATCGACACATTGTTGAGTCATTATCGTATCCTTCGTCGATGTGTGATATTTCACTCGACGAGCATCCTCTTGCTGTGATAGTTCGCCTGTCTCGTCCGGTATCTTCTCGATGGTCGCCTGGAGAAGATCCAAGGTGCGCTTGTGGATATCATGATACTCATGCCCTTTAAATGCAAAGCCCAATCTCAATAACTCCCGCCACTCTCGGATTAAGTCTTTCACAGGCTCGAAAAAAGGGTGGAAATTTTTCAGGAGCTGATCTTCGAGGAGCCCAATCTGTGTCGTCTGATCGCCGCGATATTGATCGAAGATACCCGTCTTTGCCTTTGTAAGTTGGGAGACTGAGCCGTCAAAGTACTCTTCGATGACTATGTCAAGTTCCGCGGATCGCTCTTCCCGACGCTTACCGGGACCTTCCCGAGTCAGAGCCAAGTGGATAAGGATCCACCAGAAAGATTCTATATCGTGGATCGCATCGTGGGCAGCCTTGCCTGAGATGATTTGGTGACTCATATAGGGATATGTTCCCTAGTAACGAATAAGATTACTGACATATATGAAGAACTAGAAAGCTTACCGTTCGTAAACCACTTCCAGGAATATGATCACTAAACCAAGGACAGTGATCCTCAGTCTTGGCAGATTCTGAATCAACACGACGGCGGCAGTTTGATAAGCCAGCTACTCACATTATCATCCCAACCAAGTTGTTCGGGCGAAATGGGCTGTTGTGTGCCTTCTAATCCGCGACTTTTGGCCACAGCGTTGATGTAACCACTAACTTCTCCACGGTCGGCCCCAAATACTGCGGTCGCCAGATGTACAGTGCGGTCGTCAGCTGTTTCATAGGCCTTCACTGCATTAAATTTAGCAGTTTCAAGCCTTTCCGTCCTCTTCCACGGTAAAAACTTCTTGGTGATTTTGCTGTGATCGAGGTCAAGAAGAAAACCACTCTGTCTAAAATGACCATCGGTAGGAATTAAGATGAGTATATTCCCGCCACTTATATCTCTGTGAAGAATGCCTTTAAGAAAGAAGCGTTGGTGATCTATACAGCAGAGTAAGTCAAGATTGACGGAAGAAAATAATCAAGTCTCACCCCGGACGGCATCATGAATGACGGTCAGCAGCTCCTTCAGGTTTCTAAAGTATTTGAGAGGATATCCCCGCATCCTCATGAATATACGTGTTTGCCTACGAGAAGCAAGTCGAGGATGGCGCGGCGCGAACAAGATCTGCTTTTCGCCTGTCGTCTCGATGGTTTGTTCGTAGATAAACCTCTCACGATCTATAAGATCTATAGACCGCTTGCTTGGAATATTCGAATCTAAAGTTCCTGGATTACCCGTTAAGCCTTTCCGAATCGTTAGCAGGGTGTCCACAATTTCGCCATGGCTTTTGACATATCCTGAACAGTGAATACGATCTTTCAGATTGGCCTCTGAATGAGCATAGACTTCGTAAGGTATCTTATCGAACGGCTTATCCTGAGAATCCCCATCCGAAGGCAAATCTGCGAGTAAATCATATTGAGGCGATGAATTTTCCAAGGCGATGACTTGGCCAGTGTTGTCATTATGTTTTCCTGGAAGACGTTGCCAGCTTTGTTTCATAACAAAGACTTGCGCCTGGAAACAAGCCAAAATCAGTCCAAACTAAAGATGAGCGAAGGCTGTTAACGCACCTGATCGGCATTTCCAGCCATATACTCTTCGTATGTAACGACTTCTAAAACAATGGTGGCCCTTCCACACATCATCTCTGCGCCAATAAGGCTTAGAGAACGGATGGAAACAAATTTCTCGGATGGATTTTCGGGGTTTTGGACAACCCATTGAATCATGTATGGAGAAGAGAATGCCTCCAACTCCTTCCATGGAAACTTATAGGAGGGATAATACGCGCGATGCTCCCGGTGGAACATGGCAATAGTGGGATCCCACCCCAACCTTTCCGTTGGCAAAACGGAGAAGCAAGCCACCGCCTGAATGAACTTTTCTGGCTCCTGAAAATACCATAAGCTAGGTTCTAAAAGGATAAGACAACGTATTACCGTGTGTATGTTGATTGATTGATTGGTGGCAACAATGCCACTGCGGTCAAACAAATATAGGTTAAGTTTGTCAAAGCAAATGGTGAAGGCAATAACGAAGCGACGGTCGAGTTGTTCACGTAGGATCTGTCTAGCATAACCGCAAAGCTGAAGAAGGGCTTTTCTGACATCATCCGGTCCGGATTTCGCTTTGAACTCGATAACGTTCGCCATGTGAAGCCACCAGAGACGACAGAGTTTATTCTAAATGAAAGTCAGCTAATGGCATGAGTAAGTTGATAACCCGAGTTACCTCTTCCTGTTCATCCTGTAAATATAAAGAATAAGTCTTGTATGGCTTTGAATTTAGTTTAAACGTACCTTTTCAAGCTCAGGAGGTTTGGTCGCACTACGTGTACGCCTCTTACCACCGAGGGCCTTCTCCAATTCCTCCAATCGGTCGTTATGTTTTTTGAGCTTTGCTGGATCTATTTCGTTGGAAATGAATGCTCCGTCTGGACGAATAGCGGCGGCTCGGACATCCGTTGATTCTGGTGGTTTGTGATGGCAATCTACCCATCGGCCCGCCATCGCACCATCTTCAGCAAGGCCGTTGCTCTCTACGAGCCTCATGATCTCGTTGGAACCTTCAGTTGGAAAGTTTGTCCAGCATGCATTCTGAGAGTCGTACAGCTTTGCCTTCTTCAAGCCAGCAAAAATCTTGCGAACATCTTTGGAGGCTATAGGTATAATCTTTTCAAGAAATTTACGGGTATCGACAGTGAATAGAGTCTTATAAAGCTCATCCTGTACGCTTTTCTCGACGTCAGCAGCCATAGTTTGAGGGGCGCGGGTTCCGACAGTTAGGTGAGGTTTAGTAGGTGTATCGCCTGTTGGAGCCATGGTGAGGAATGAAGCTGAAAGGATGCGAATAACTCACAGGTTCTTTTTAAACTTTATATAAGGTATAAGGGTTGAGTGAAAGCGTGTCGCGGGATCAAACGCGTTACGGAACTCGAACAATGGATGGCTTAGTCAGCCGTCGCTTAAGTAGGCCGCGCGTGACTACGTATTAGTTCCGCTGTGTCTGCACGACGCACATCACCAGTTTCCTTTGTTCTTTCCCCTTGATTGAATATTATGTTTCGTAATACTCATTTCTGGCGAGAATATTCTTTCGTTAATCGGCATTTGCCATTTATTTAATATATATATCGCATAACTCGTTTAAGATTTAAAGGTATTCGGTGGACGATAAGCTGATGGACCACTACTAATTGAAAAAATATATTGTTCGAGAACTATTGACATGGACAAACATTCAGATAAGTAATGTTTAATAAGTAGTTTCATGGTTTGTTGTGACCTCATGGCACAGGCAGTGATAAATCGGACAATTAGACGATAAGGAGAACTATTTGATTTCTATTATTCGGAATCCGAAGTATTTCACAATGAAGGTGGATGTGCTAGCACGATCTACCTTCTGACCGAATAGCCACTAGTGCAAAATAAAGATTTCAAGGGTTATCGATGGAAGATGAGATGCCAAGTTATTGACCCTGGCCGGCCCCATTGTCCAGTTATATTGGCGATGGATATAAGCAGGAAATGGGGCTTGATGTGGACAATAGAAAACGCTAGTGACAATCAAACTCTTGAAAGATATCGTCTCTATCATGATTGGGAACAATGAATATCTGGCGCATGTACTAGTAAATTTATACTAATGTCGGTTTCTTTGTATTAAATTCATCCGCAGATAAAGGGGAATGTCCCAGAAAACAATTGCTTCGTAGGAGGGAAAAGTCCCAGAGCTTTCGGCCCCCGTGGCAGAAGGCTCGGGAAGATCAATTTACCCCCCTCAAGTACCTAATCTCTTCCCTGGGTCTCCCATTAATAGAATACATCTTCGAGTAAATGGTAGGAGCCGTTGTCATCTCAAATTAAAAATAACCTCTTGGAAATAATATTGTAAGCTAGAAGAGCATTTTATCCGGTGTGCACCGTCTACTACATACCAACATGCTTCTCGACTATAGTAATGGGATCAGTAAGTTGAATTTGCATAGAATCCACATTTAACTTCGATCGACTGAGACCCAGCTATTTTGCTTCATAATCAGGCGTAGCATCCAACACTGTCATTTTACAGTCGAACTTGAAGCTTGAAGTCTCCTTCTCCCTGTTTTACTGGTACTTTAAATATAAGCACTCCACTATCGCATTTTTCATAAGCCCGGCACGGAATTTCTTAAAGCTCTACACAGCTCCGCGGCCCTTGACTAGAATCTCCCACTTCCAAAGC